GAAAAGTTGTGGTGAAGGAAAAAAGGATGCTTCAAGTTGTTAGACAAGTTGAAATTAATGCTGCATTCAAGATAAAAAGCTGTTGGCAGGGGTCTGTGATTTATATTTTCTTTTCAAATGAACAACAGAGGAGATCACTACGTAATCAGTCAAATATGCACGCGCAGTGTCATATTATGCATGCCGTCATGAAACAGTAGTATTTCGGCTTTCCGAATGAGATAATTTGCGACGTTAAACCGGCGTTATGAATACCACAAAAGGGTGCTATAGAATTCTTACCTGACAAAGATTTGCATCCATAAGTTCCATAACAATGTAGAGATCATTGAACTCTTCCACTTCTCTCTGAGGAGAGAATGCGTTTAATAAACCAATAATCTAAAATAATCAGCATTTCACGACAAGACTTTCACATGCGAACACATTCTAGAGAACAAATTTACAAACTTACGTTTTTATGATTGACTAGATTCATAAGAATAAATTCTCTATAATGCCCGCTTCGCATGCGTGACATTTTGAAAAGGTCTAGACAACTTCTTTATGGCAACCGGCTTGTTGGTTACTGTATCCGTCGCAGCGCTAAAAATATGGAAATGTGGATGGATAGAGAAATACTTCTTGGGTTCTCATGACGTCACTTTCAAGCCCTCCCTTCTTTAGTTTCTTCTGTGAGCATGCAATAAAGTTTCACGGTGTCGGGAAAATTTTCTTACTTTTCAACCTCTGCAAATAAAATACGGCTCTCCACTTAAACACTGCGCAAAACCTCTGTAGAATTCACGACGGTAAACAGTAAATATGATACATCGAAATCCGTCAAAAACCACTTATTTTGAAAACTTGTTCAACGTTTCATGATCCTCATTTAGAAATTTCTTCAAAAATACAAGAACGGAAAACTTTGCAACGCACCAAACGATACCCTGAGCTCCTGATCCGATCAACCGAAGATTCTCATATCTTTTCAAGATCACCATTTGCGTCTCTCCAACGGGAACAGCGTAGTAGTTTTCCGGGACAGAAGTGGATGCCATTGAAAATGTCCCGCAACTGCAAACGGTACTTTAGTTAGCAAACGAGAATTACCAATCTTTTTGACCTCCAGAAAAGAAAACTACTCAGGAATGATAGCTCTCTCAGCACATGCTACTTTAGTTGCGAGCCTTTTCGAAAGCATTAACACTTTTACAAAAATAATCGTAAAATCAGCAAATGTGCAGCTCAACCTATGAGCAAAAATGCCATTTGAGCATACAATCAATTGTACAGCTTTGGGAAGCCGCACTAACATGAAGGACCTGGTGCATAATTATAGTCAGCCTTGCTACCCATTTTCCACATTAACAGGATTATTAAAAATCCCTTGCTGCCCTTTTGCTAATATTCCGTGACACCCAGATGACAGAATCTAGAATAACGGTTCGCTTCATCTATGAAAAACATCATTTGAACTACTGTTTTTAGATATCGAATACAATCCTCAAGCGAAAAAATTATAAATCGGAGGAAGCCCAAAATCCGCCAGAATGGTGTATCTCAGGGCCTTTCAAGAAAAAGAACCGGTTCATATATCAAGTCATGCATTATAGTAATGACTAATACTATGAATGATTTATGATGCATGATATAGTTCAAGTTTTGGCAGACAATTAAACTGATAAGCGGCTGCTTAACAAATTCGAGCTTGCACTTTTGGCGAAAGAAGCTGGCCGTCCAGTAAAGTGAAGTTCAGGGTAAACTGCACGAGACGACCGGAATGAATGAATAGGATTCAAAACCAAAGAAGCAGATTTCACAAAAATTGAAAGGATTCCATACACAACTCCAAATGATTACTGGAAACGATTATTAATTTTTCAGTGCAACCAACACTGGTACAAAAGAACACTAGTCGGGAAAAATTTCTGCATCTATGGTGAGAACAAAAGCAACTGTTCCCAACAAGGGTGAACAAAATGGGATCTAAAATCAAAAGCTTCTGAAACGCGTCCCTTTATTTCTCATGTGGCGATCAATGTCTTACTTCTTGGATCGCTTTCAGATATTATGCTAAACACGCGTTTGAGTGAATCGCAGGTTCACAACGAAAACCCCATGACCAATACTCGCTGCATATGCCGTCGTTCTCGAATTTGAATGATACAAAAATGTTCAGATGCAAGTATATCGTTGTATCTTCCACCTCTTAATATTAACTTGGGAATGCCAAGAGAATATCATCCCATACATAGTCAATTTGATGCGTTCTTACACATTCTTCCCTCCGCTGGTTGAAATTTTATACACGCTGCTGCAGCTCGGGTCAGGGTCCACCAATTCATTTCGGAAAGTCGATTGAAAGAAAAGTTACAAAAAAGCAAAAAAGAATTACGCGAAACCTGCGACGGATCGCGGACTCTGACACCAGCCTTACCGAGCAAATAATTAAACAAAGTACGCATAACTTCAATTTCAACGAGATATGATCAAATATGAATATCGAACTCGTAAGAAATAGCAGTGAACCATCGTCATTTAAACAAGCACGAGAATCAACTCACTTTCTTGGCACCGGGCTGAACGCACTGTGGCAGCTATCGAGCGAGAGCTCGTCCTCACGAGCTCCTGAAGTCGTAGCCAGCCACTGAAACGTGAAAAATGAATACTGTGGACACTGTTACTTAAATAAAGTAGAGCACACAACAGAATTTAAGTGCGATCGCGAGATACGGGGACATCGTTTAGAACAAAGCCTAGTATAGGGGACGAAACTCTGGGGAAAGTGAAATTTGCTTGCGCACTCTGGAGACTCCTTTCACACGCCTCAGGCATAGTTCATATTGTGGGCCTCATCAATAAAATGTTCCGGTATGAAGTGTTCAGAGCGTTCAGAACCACGGAAAGCACATTCTTTTATCGTAAGTGTTTAGGACTGAGCCTTAGGCTGGTGTCAGAGTCCGCGATCCGTCGCAGGTTTCGCTGATTTTCGCGATTTGCGCGATTTGCGCGACGGGTCACGGAAATCACAAGTGCCCCATCAATACTGCAAGGTGTTCTCCAATCCCGCCGCCACTTCTGCTTGATAGTGATGGCTGAATGACGACTGCCCTCATGATTCCACTTGTTTGATATTATAGAATCTAGAATTATAGGATAGAATAGGAACGAATCATGAGCATTTCAATGAACTGATAGACATTGAACATGAAACAAGTAGAATCACGAACAGTCGTTCAATCTTCACTGTCAAGCAGAATTCGCAGCAGGATTAAACAACACCTCGCAGTATTCATCGGGCACTTCCAACTCCTGTGATCCATCGCAGGTTTCGCGCAAATCGCGCAAATCGCTGAAATCAGCGAAACCTGCGACGGATCGCGGACTCTGACACCAGCCTTTGAATGAAATGAACCCCCGGACCGTGAGCAATCTTCAGTTTTCCCCGTGGGACTTCCTCCCTTTCCTAGGTTTAGTTTTTGCTGCTTACTAGTTACTGCTATACATGTTTATGTCATGAAGCAAAAGAATACATACATTACACAAAACCTGAAGAAATAACATGGGAAAAAAGCTGACAGCAGCTCGTAACTTTAAAGGGTTCTTGAGCCAAATTGGCATTAGAGCAGACCGTGCACCACAATGCCCATCTCCCTTACTGGATGAGACCTCACTTTTTAACAACAAAGGAGGCACAATGTGGCTCAGGGGGGGGG